AACTTATTTCTCGTTTGGCTGTGGCTTGGCTCTAGGTTAGGAGTTGGGCCCAGGCTTGCTCCATGTGTTCAGGCATGATGTATTACTGGGGTGCCAATATTTAAAAGGCCAAAGAAGACCTGTAGGCACACTTAAAACCACTGTTTGGGGGTGCCAGGGTGACTTGATCGATTGAGTGGCTCTTGGTTTCAGCTCAAGTCATGATCTCGGGGCCCTGGGTTGAGCCCTGCTTTGGGCTCCAAGCTTGGTTTGGAGTCTCCTTGTCCCTTTCTTCCTCTCTCCTCCTCCCTCAACTCATTCTGTCTCCCCCCACCTTCTCTTTCTCTTAAATAAATAAATAAATAAATAAATAAATAAATAAATAAATAAAATCTTTAAAATTAAACCCCTGTGTCACATTCATTTACATTTTGTTGACCAAAACAAGTCATGATTAAGCTCCAATATGACTGGAGTGCAAAATATTTTCTTCCCTTGGAGGATGGGTAGAGAAAAATGGATATTTATTAAACAGTAACCATAGGTGAATGCTGGTTTTCTTTTCCTTAGAGCAATAGTTCTCACCTGGGGATGATTTTGCCTCAAAGGAGACATCTGGTAATGTCTGCAGAGGTTTTTTGATATAACTGCTGGCATGGGGAGGATTGTGACTGGCAACCGGCAGATAGAAGCCAGAGATGCTGCTAAATATCCTGTAATGCGTAGGACACCCCCTGCCCCCAAAAGAATTATCCAGTGCACACTATCACTAGTGCTTAGGTTGAGAAGACTTTCCATTAAATAGTAGTTCTAAAATTTTAGGATGCATCAGCATTACCTATAGGATTTATTAAAATACAGATTCTCAGAGGAGTTAACTCTGGAAGCTTCTGATATAGTAGGTCTAGAATTCCTAACAAGTTCCCAGATGACAATGATACTGCTGATCCGGGGACCATACGGCGAGAACCACTTCCTTAAGAATCAGTCATTATCTACATTTTTTAAAATATCATTTGTGTGCATTATCATGGGACCTGTTAAAGCACTTATCACAGATCTGTCTTGTAGTTCTTTTGTTTGGACTAAAAGAATTGAGGTATAATACTGAGTGGGAAGCTTTGGAAAAGAAGCTTACTCTATGAGTCATGGCATTGGCACATAAACAGAGTTTATAAAATGTTGTGTTTGTGAGACATATTTTGAAGAAGTAGAAACTGATAATCATACTTAGCACTCCAGAGGTGCTAAGACTGGTCATTGATGAGATTGCAGAGATTGCACCTACCTAGTTGTATTGCTATCGTTTCACAAGCAGTATCTTAGAAAAAAACTTAAAATGATTATCTTGAGTTACAGGACATCTCTTACTCTTGTAAGTTTTTTGTTTAGTTTTTATTTTGCTTGTTAAGAACAAACACCATTTTTTGAAATTCTTTGAGCTCATACACATATAAAATTGTGAAATGAAGAGAAAGAAAAACTAGACAAATATCTAGTTACAATAGTCACAGTAGTTACATAGCTAGTTACAATGGTAAGTGACAAAAGTCTTTTAATCAATAGAATATTTAGTTGTGGAGTTCTTAATTATCTTCTTTTAGCAAACTCATAAACTGGTAAGAAGAAAAAGATTTAAAACTTAAGAACTCTTTATATTGGTGGCAAAACAACTTTTTATCTTATAACTTGCAGAAATAAATATTCTGGATTAGCCTTTGAATAATGTATAAAGAAAGAATAGCAGCCTAGTAAAAGTACTATCCAATAGAAGTATAATGCAAGTGGCATGTGTAATTAAAATTTTTCTAGTAGATACATTAAAAAGGATAAATTGGTTAAATTAATTATAATAATATGTTTTTAATCCAAATAAGTAGACTTATTATTAATGAGATATTTTGGATTTCTTACTAGTCTTCAAAAACCAATGTGTATAGCAAATCTCAAGTTGAACTAGCCTTATTTCAAGTGTTCAGTAGCCACACATGGCTAGTAGCTGCCATATTGTACAGCACAGATCTAAGAGTTACAGAGTGAGTAATGGAGAGTTCAGTTTTTATATTTTAAGATTTTCTTTGGGGCAATAGAAAGCTGTTTTTTGAGCATATATCTTGGTCACTGTCTGAATTCAGACTATCATCATTTGTCCCTTCCTGGCACTGAAGAACCTGTCTAAAGGTCCTAATCTGATTATTGCCTAATCATATGACTTCCCTACTAAAAATTCTTCAGTAGGTTATCATATTTTTCAAGGTAATTTATACTTCGTATCTTAGTGCACTAGAGTCTCTATGATATGACTCCTTTCATATGTCTCTGGCTCATTTCCTGATTCAACACAAAGTTGTAGCCTTAGCTTCCAAAAAGATCTGCTGTTGTTTCCTACAGATTCCACTTCTGTTTTCCCATGCCATTGCATGTTTTTCTATTTACTGAATGCTCTTTTTTTTTTTAAAGATTTATTTATTCATGAGAGACAGAGAGAGAGGCACAGACATAGGCAGAGGGAGAAGCAGGCTCCGTGCAGGGAGCCCGATGTGCGACTCGATCCCAGGACTCCAGGATCACGCTCTGAGCCGAAGGCAGACGCTCGACCGCTGAGCCACCCAGGCGTCCCTACTGAATGCTCTTTAACCTTGCTCTTCTACCTCTTTACTTAGCCAACTCCTATTTGTACTTCAGAATTCAATGCAAAGATTATTTTCTCTTGGAAAACTTCTCTTATTCACTAGTTAGTATATACTGTAAAGGCAGCATGTGCAGATTTAAGATACACATCTCAGACTGGGGAGAGCATATTTGGATCATATGGAACAAATATAGGCGTAATATCTATTAATAGGAAAAGAGTTACAAATCGATGAAAAGACCAAAATGCAATGAAAATATATGAAATTATGAATAGGTATATTCTATGAGAAAAAATATAAATGATCAATGAAAGTTTGAAATATAATTTTTCACCTATCACATTAGTAAATACTTGAAAGAATGATTATATTTTAGCATGAGTACAGAGCAGAGCTGTCCAACAGAAATTAATGCAAACCACATATGTAATTTAAAATTGTCTAGTACCCATATTAAAATTAAAAAATACAATTTTCCTAATTAATTTGTCTCAGTATATCCAAAATTATTTCAGTATTTAATCAATATAAAAGCTTATTAAATAGATATTTAATGTCTTTAAACTAAGTCTTCAACATTTTGTGTAAAGATTTCAGAATACCCCAATATTTACTAGTTATGTAGAGGAATAGATGTTTTTGTACAATATTGGTGAGAATGCATTTTGGAGGAGAATTTGGCAATATTCATCAAGTTAAAATTTTAATGACCCAGCATTCTATTCCTAGAAATCCATCCTCCAGAAATACTAATGTGCATTTAAAAATTAAAGATAGGTGGATGTTTACTGCAGTGTTGTACAGGAAGACATTGGTAATAACCTAAATGTCCTATAGGGTCTTTTTTTCCTGTAGGGGTTTTGTTAAATAATTATATTTCTAGATAGTGAGATACTGTATAACTTTTAAAAAATGTGGGGGCTGTTTATGTTAACTGAGTTATTATATGAGTTAAATAAATATTAACATGATATCATGTAGAATACTTAGAATATCTGGCACATAGTAAATGTGATATGTGTTTGCTGCTATTATTATTAATTATTATTACTGAATGGAAGAAACTTGCAGATACATTAAGTGAAACATAAATGCAAAGTATAAAACTATATTGTATGCCATTATTTGTGTAGAATGGAAAAAACGAGATATATGTGTGTGTGTGTATATATATATATTTGTATATGTGTACAATAGCTGTGAAAGAGTATGTAAAAAACTGATAACATTGATTATATTTGGAGAGGAAACCAGATAGTTGGGGGAGGCATACTTTCCACAATGTTCTTTTTTTCTATCTTTTGAATTTGATCCATAATGAATATAATACTAGTGAAAAATTTTAAATGTGAATTAGGTTTATTTGTCTTAAATATTTTTGAGAAATCTATACTTTACCATTAATTATTTCTGTAATTGGTATGCATTATTATGATTTTAATCAAGAAAAAACAATACTGGGTAGCTTTACTTCAGTTCTGTAGAATGGCTAGATGATACGAAATTCTGAGCAAATTTAAATTTTGATTAATCAGAATCTTGATCAGAAACACTTGGTTTCAAAATTTATATGACTTTTGAAAATATTTCTACATTGTCCTTTTTGTTGTCACAAGAAAGATATGTGGCATATTGAACTTAATAAAATCAGATTTTGCAGGACATGAGCATCATTCTTATTACCACTTTGTAGAAAGTGTAAAAAACTACATGCTATCTTGGGGCACCTGGGTGGCTCAGTGGTTGAGTGTCTACCTTTGGTTTGGGTCGTGATGCTGGGGTCCTGGGATCGAATCCTGTATCGGGCTCCTTGTGGGGAGCCTGCTTCTCCCTTTGCCTGTGTCTCTGCCTCTCTCTGTGTGTTTTTCATGAATAAATAAATAAAATTTTTAAAGATTTTATTTATTTACTCATGAGAGACAGAAAGAGAGAAGAGAGAGAGAGAGAGAGAGAGAGAGAGGCAGAGACACAGGCAGAGGGAAAAGCAGGCTCCATGCAAGGGAGTTCAATGTGGGGACTGGATCCCAGGTCTCCAGGATCACACCCTGGACTGAAGGTGGCACTAAACCGCTGATCCACCTGGGCTGCTCTAAAGAAAATATTTTTAAAAACCCTGCATGCTATCTTTAAAAGACATTTAGACATTCTTTAAAAGTTAAAGCTTACACCCAAGAATGCTTTGGCCCTAATAGAAACTTTTGCGTGTGCAGGTGATATTCTAAGAGTTGAGGTCTGGTGAAGAGGATGGAAGAATTCTAGTTAATTTAAATTTTACAATACTGACTATCCTGTTGATCACATTTTCTGGACAAATGTGGATGGTAATTTTATATTTGGAATATATAACTCTTTGTTTTTCATGAGAACTTACTGTCACTTGTGTTTTAGGATTTGGAGTGGATCAGTTACGGGATGATAATCTTGAAACTTATTGGCAATCAGATGGCTCCCAACCTCATTTAGTAAACATCCAATTCAGGTAATACATTTTTGTATTTTTTGATTTGTGTAGGTTAAGTGAACAAAGTAACCTATTTTATTTATATAAAATTTAAAGAAATATAGAAATTATAGTAAAATGCACTTAACTCTGGTTTTTATAAGCCTTGAGATTATTTTTCTACTCATGTAGATTGTTTTAAGTTTACTCATCTTATCTTTGTGAATTCTTTATAGTATTTTACACAGTTCCTTTTACATAGAGATTTTTTTTTTTTTTAAGATTTTATTTGTTCATGAGAGACAGAGAGAGAGAGAGAGGCAGACACAGGCAGAGGGAGAAGCAGGCTCCAGGCAGGGAGCCCAATGTGGGACTTGATCCCGGAACTCTGGGATCATGCCCACAACTAAAGGCAGATGCTCAACCGCTGAGCCACCCAGGTGGCCCTACATAGAGATGTCTTAAATATACTTTTCAAGATGATTTATCTCAGAAAAATATGCTCTGCTTATGACCCAAAGCAATGCCTTAATGTATTGCATTAACTACATCTGGAGTGATAACAGTATGTCCTTTATGTATAGTCTATTCATGTAATTCTCAAATTTGTATTTCCATTGGAAAAAAATTGTCTTAACTTAAAACCGTTAAGGACATTTTCAGTTTTGAAATGCTTACTTTCTTGGGGAAAGGAACATGGCCATATGTTTTTCAATTGCTTTGAGTTTATTGAGATAGGTGGAAAGCAGCTAACTTGGTTATCCTGCCCCATGGAAATCATCTATTATATAAATATACATATATCTGTAGATTATATAAATAGTTATATCATCTATTTTAACATTTTACAGCATTGTATTTTTAGGTTTTTTTTCTTTTCTTTTTAAAAAAAGATTTTATTTTTAAGTTATCTCTGCACTCAATGTGGGGCTTAAACCTGCAACCCCAGGTTGATCAAGACTCACATGAGCCAGCAAGATGCCCCTTTAGTTTGTTTTTCTCACTGATGGTACAGATCAGCACATTTCTTATGGAAAAGTCAGAAATTAACCATTTTTGCTTTCTGAGCTATTTGGTCTCTATTACAACTACTAGGGTCATTATAGCATAAAAGCAGCTTTAGGCAATGTACACTGGCTAAATTTAGTTATTCTAATTAAACTTTGTCTTAAAAAAGTAGTTGGTGGGCATAGTTTACCCAGTGGGTCATAGTATGCCAATTCTTGTCCTTATGTATTAAATATGTATTTACCAGAAATAAAAACAGCACCTAGTATTTTTAAAGACTTAAAACATCAGATACTTTGCTAGAATGTGTTATCTGTTCATTTCATTTAACCTTTACAGCTATTGTTATCCTTTTTTAAATAGTCTCAGAAGCAGACCTATATAAATTAAGTAACTTGCCCAAGATCACACAGCAAATAACTGGCAGCATTGCATCTGAACACAAGCACTCTGACCAGAGAGCCTGTGCTTTTAACTATTATACTGGGTAGGGTAAATTTCTTTTCCATGACAACAAAGGCTATCAAAGCTGGTACAATGAGTGTCTTAATTTAATTGTATTATATTAGAATGGCAGGATTTTTTCTTTTTTTTTTTTTAATCTTTTTAAATTTTTTTAATTTTATTTTTTAATTTTATTTATTTTTATTATTTTTATTTATTATTTTTTTAGGATTTTTTCTTTTTAGGAAATGCAATTTTATACAGAAGGCCAATGTATTGAAGAATTAATAATAAAAATGTTATATTTATAGAGCATTGAAAGTATCAGGTATTGTATTATCTCATTAAAAGTTTAATATTTAATAGTTGTTAATATATATCATTTTTAAATGATCCCCAAAACATCTTTGGTAAGATGTAGGTACTATCATTTTTCTCATTTTATAGATGAAAAAACTAAAATTTAGAAAAATTAGCTTATTCAGGTCACAATCCATGCAGTTATAGAGCCTGGATGTGATCTAGCAGTCCGGACTTAAAGAACTGTTTGTAGTTAGTATTCAGCTGTTTCTCAACTAAGCTTATTAAAACAGTCAGGAACTTAAGGCCCTCCCTGCTTAACTTAGCCTTTGCCCTAACTAGGGAAGCCTAAGGCTTTGACAAACACATTTTGAAAACAAATGTTTTAGAAAAAGGGAAATTGATTAAGAATTTTGAAACAATCTCACACTTAAAAGTTCTAAATACATTACAATCCCTCCCTCCCACAATTGTTTCAGACTACATTGCCAATGTATGTCTCAACTCTCCAGAATGCTTTCATATGTCATTCCTATAAATAAAGACCTTCTTCTATATAACAACAATACATCCTTAGGAAATTAACAGTGATACATTTAATTTTACAACCCCATTCCTGTTCTACCAATTGTAGCAGTGAAATTGAATCACAGGTTGAATTTGGTTGTCCCTTCTCTTTACTCTCTTTTTAATATGGAACATTTCTTCACTCTTTATTTGACTCAGCACTTTTGAAGATTATAGGCCAGTTATTTATTTTTTTAAAATTTTATTTATTTATGATAGTCACACACAGAGAGAGAGAGAGAGAGAGAGAGAGGCAGAGACATAGGCAGAGGGAGAAGCAGGCTCCATGCACCAGGAGCCCGACGTGGGATTCGATCCCGGGTCTCCAGGATCGCGCCCTGGGCCGAAGGCAGGCGCCAAACCGCTGTGCCACCCAGGGATCCCTAGGCCAGTTATTTTAAAGAATGTCCCTTAATTTGGGTTTCTTTGATCTTCATGAGTAACTTCAGGTTCTACATCTTTAGGGAAAGTAGCACAGAAGTGATGTTCTGTCCTTGTCATTGCATCTTAATACTTGAGGTACATGATTTTTATTTTGTCCCTTGACTGATGAGTGTTTACTTCTATTATATGATTAAGGTAGTATCTATATCCATTAAACTTCTCCACTGAAAAGATTCTTTCATTTTACTCAAAATTATTGCTATCAGCATGTGCTCAAAGTTTACTGTTTTATTCGCCTGTTTTAAATCTGTTATTATCATCTTTTGTGTCAGTGCTCAAATTGCCTCAGATTTGGCCAGTGGGAGTCCCCTCCAGTTGATGCTATTACGTTTTGATAGTCTCTGTTGATTATTTGAGCAATTTCTTATGTTCTGGCAAAAGATTCTGTGCCCCATTTCTCTAAAATCAGGTGTATTTTAGTGGAGAATAGTAGTTAGAACCAGATTTTGTGGGGGTACTGGGGTGTCTCAGTCAGTTAAGCAGTCTTGATTTCATCTCAGGTCATGGTCTTGGTTGAGAGATCGAGCCCCACATTGGGCACCCTGCTCAGTGGGGAGTCTGCTTGAGTTTCTCTCCCTCTGCTTCCCCCTCCCCCATTCTCTCTCTCTCAAAGAATTAAATCTAAAAAAAAAAAAAAAAAGCCCCAAAACAAAACAAAAAAAATGAAAAAAGAAAGAAACCAGCTTAGTGTATTGAGCATACCCAATATACCATGTCTTGTATTGGATATGCTCATTGCTGTATGATATTGCTGTTTCTAAGCCTTCTCAGTAAGGGGATATATGTATGTAACACATACATATATAAACATATTTACATCAGTATTTATTTCTCTGTCTTCATACATATACAAAAATCATAAATTCATTCCAACACTTCCAGTTACAGTCCAGAGTGAACAGGGTTTATTCTCTTTTTTTCCTTTGTATTCATAAGCCCTTTCATGAATGAGAACCTGGTTGGTTCTCTTGTCCTTCCTACTTACTTCATTAATTCCCCAGTATGTAACCAGTGTTCCAGTTCTCTCATTGTTCCTTCCCCTCCACAGATGCCCCTTTACCCCACCTAGGCTCTCAACCTATCCTGTGCTGTTGTCTTTTCACTCTATATGCTCTTCCCTATTTGTAGATAATCTTTTTCTCCTGGTCTGGGATCTGACACCTTACATCAGTCACTCCCTTGTGTGGATGTTCTCTTCAGTCCACTTGGACTTTGACGTTGCATGCCAGGCCAACTTTCTAACCCATCTTGGCTCTAGAACCTCACTGTATGGTGCGCATATGCTCTCTTATCCCTCTTTGGGCTTGACACTCCATAATAGACTACCTTACAATGTGGCTGACTTCTCATTCCACACAGGCTTTTATATGCCACATTGGGTCACCTTGTGGTGTGGATGTCTTCATCACTCTACTCAGGCTCAAACACCCCATTCCCCATGTGTAGCCGCTCTCCTCTTCAGAAGTTCTGCTCACTTCCACATGGGCCGTACTACACTTCCTCCCTTCCCCCATGTGAATGCACTCCTCACTTTGAACAGGCTCCAATATCCCATTTTGCTTGGTCCTCTCTATTTTTTTTTTTATGGTGAAAAAATTTAGACATTAAAAAAATAATAGGTACTAAGCTTATTAATAATTTAGTATATGTGCTGCCAAAGTGAGCACAGCTTATTAATAATTTAAGACAATTGTAACTATATTTGAAATTGTTATCAAGTAGCAAAATAGACTAGAAATTAAAACATTCCATCCTAGCTGTAATGAAATAAGCTAGTAGTCATAACTAACAGTGAAAGCCTCAGAGTTGCTTGTTTCTTTTAAGGTTTCTTCCTCTCCATAAGCTTCAATCTACTGTAAATGGAAGAAGAAGGTGTGGTTTGCTTCTATAGCTTTTACCCATATTTTTAATTCCTGAACTCTCCAGTCTTGCTGGATGGGAATGGAGAAGGAAAACTTATAATTGCCAATTCTGTCTTGGTGATTTAGCATTGGTGCTCTCTTTACTTGATTGTATGCTTAAAGCAACTCTTATCTTATGGATGCTTTTGTGGGTGGAGAGGATAGAAACTTACTGTTTAATGGGTATAGAATTTTGGTTTGGAATGATAAAAAGTTCTAGAGATGGATAGTGGCAATGGTGGTAACAATATGAATGTACTTAATGCCACTGACCTATACACTTAAAATAATAAAAAATATTATGTATATTTTACAATAAGAAAAAAATCAATGAAATTTGCCCTCTCAACAGACTAAAGAAAAATCATATGATCA